TCTGTTAACACATTGTACTCCATTACATACCGCCTTAGGGGTGAGTGTCTTGAGTGGCTCTCCTTTTTGTTTCATAGACTGTGTGGCTGATGCCTGGGCGGGAGAGCCCCGTGCTTAAATCCTCCAGGAAAGTGATGGAAGAACCAGCATTCAAACCAGGCCCATGGATGCAAAGGTATTATTCGTTCTCTCTGCCTCTGGGGGAGGGGGAGTTGCTACAGTTGAGAGGTGGATGAGCAAGGTTCAGGTCCCCACGACATTTTTCAGTAACATCAAATTGCAATTGTATCCCTGGTCATACAGCCATACATATGTTGCTGATTATTTCAAAGAGCGTGTCTCATTTAGACACTGGTAGGTTCTTTGTCACTCCTCAGAGACTTGCTAATCCCCCTTCTATCAGAACAAATCATTCTTTGTGGTGAGAACCGACCTGAGGTTTGTAAGGTGTTGAACATATCCCTGGCCTCCACCCTCCAGATGGTAGTAGCACCCCTTAATCATGGACACCAAAATGTCCCCAGGCTTTGCAAGTGTCCCCTAGGGGCAGAATGACCTTATGTGAGAACTGCTTGTTTAAATAGTACACATGGGCTCAGTGCCCGTAGCTCAGTGAGTAGAGTGCCGGCCACATACACCAAAGCTGGTGAGTTCAAGCCAGGCTTAGGCCTGCTAAGACAACAATGACAACTGCAACCAAAAAATAGCCGGGCATTGGCTCAGCACCCATAGCACAGTTGTTACAGTGCCAGCCACATACACCGAGGGTGGCAGTTTCAAACCCAGCCCAGGGCCAGCTAAACAACAATGACAACTGCAACAGAAAAATGGCTGGGCGTTGTGGTGGGTGCCTATAGTCCCAGCTACTCAGGAGGCTGAGGCAGGAGAATCACTTGAACCCAGGAGTTTGAGATTGCTGTGAGCTGTGATGGCACAGCACTCTACCAAGGGTGACATGGTGAGACTCTGTCTCAGAAAAAAAAAAACATAGTCAGGTGTTGTGGCAGGTGCCTGTAGTCCCAGCTACTCAGGAGGCTGAGGCAAGAGAATCACTT